ACTAATTATCTTCAAAATATAAATATCAATAAAGACGATCTGACCCTTCAATTAATTAAATTCGTGTATATTTCTTTTATAGTTTAGACGTAATTAAACTCCCTGTTAGCAAATAAAAATTGTTAACTTAATGACGAACAGTTTAAGCTTAACAAATGGTGATTCCTGCTAGGCTATTTTTTTGTTGATAATATATATAACATACCGCTGACGAACTAGCGTGGTGTATAATTTTTGAAGAATAAAACTAATAATGGATTTAGAATATTTTATTAAAGAAAAAAATTATTTCGTGTATGTTGATAATACAGAAAGTACTAGTTAGATTTCTACTACACTTTTAGTTGATATAAAACAAAATGAAGATATTTCAACATTTTTTATTAAAGAAGATAATAATGGAATTTTGTATTTACATGGGTATACTTTTGTAATAAATGGCGAAAAAACATATTTTCCTTTACAAATAAAAGAAGAAGAAATTATTATGATACATTTGGGAAAAAATTGGACTTAATATATGCAAAAACTATTTATTAAAGTAAAAGGAAAAAGATTTATCACTTGGCAAGAAAGAGATCAAAAATATTTGTCAAAAATTCAACATCGAAGAAAAAGAAAAAATATAAAATCACGTGATATGATACCATCTGACGAAATATTAAAAAGGGAAAGTACATTTTCTAAAAATGGAAATTTTAAAGAAGAAACCCCATCATCAAAAGAAACAATATTTCAAGAAGACCTAATTTGCTTTCAAGATGAAAAAGAAGAAGAATTTATATTAATTAATTTGAATGAATATAATTAAGCAATATTCTTATCGCATCAAGAGATTTCTTCTAATGTTTTTATGTTAGATGCTAAACAATTTCAAATGTCTTTTAATGATCATAATTTTGAAAATAAAATGCAAACTTTTGACTACCTTTGTGAAGAAATATATGACTTGTATCAAGAAATGCCAATAGAAAATGATGAACTTGAATCTGTTATTACAAC